TTCTAGTCGGTTTCATCTTCTTGAAAAAAATTCGACAGAAATCCAGCCCATTCTCGACAGAGTGGGGCAGTAAAGGGTAAATAGTGCCGAATCATGTCATTGATTAGCCTTTGCCTGAGGGAAGTGACCCTTTGTGTTTCAACCCTGGAAAAAAAATTGATGCAAAAAAAGGTTTCGTTATCGTAGTGTGCGGAACATAGATTTCCACAAAAAAATTCAATGCGTTACGTTAGTCTTACGGTTAAACGTGAAACAAAATACACTGGTGTGCAAAGCCTAGGGACGAGGTGGATAATGTAGCATAAAACATTGAGAGCTAGGTGGAACTAAATGAAAGTGTGGAAGTATATAACCAGACCTATGGCGGTTATGCACAGGAAGCTGGACTCCCCTTCGTGGAGGAATAGTTAAAATAAAGTGGAGTGGAGGAATACGGCTGCCTGCACAAATCGATGCAGTCGATAGGTGCAAAAAATTTTTTGTCATTCAGCCAGTAGCTACCAAATACTGTGGTGGTATGTTTCTATACACATGTCCCGCAGACATCGTCTGGATAACTTGGCACGAGGAAGGGTCTTCGGGGAACACGAAGAAGGTCGAACCATGCAGAGTGTGGCTCAGGAGCCTATTATCGCTCGCATCGTTGTTTCACGTGCACAGAGAGCATTCCGAACCTCTGATACTGCTGCACGAAGGAGAGGAGGTGGTCGACCAAGATCAACTACACTAAGGTATGACCGCTACATTGGGCAGGCATGAAGAGATCCATGTTAATCAGCTTTTGTGATTGCGATATCATATAAAAGAGCATCAAGGCAAGCCATCTCGCGCTCTACAGTGGCACGACGACTGCACGGTGGCGGTCCCGACGCCCGCTACGTTGTGTTCCTTTGACCATCGCGCATCGGTGAGACCGTTGAGGGTGGTGTCAAAGGCATAGCGAATGGACCGGTAAGAATGGAGCCATGTGCTCTTGACGGATGAGAGCAGATTCAGTCTGGGTAGTGGTCTGGACTCACCCTTATATGGCGAGAGGTAAAAGCATGCAACTCTCCCAGAAACTGTCGAACGTGATCGTTCTGTTGTCGAGCTGTATTTTTATGGGGAGGCATCATGCTGCATAGCCGTACTCACCTCCAGATACTTGACTGTGGAACCCTTACCAGTCAGTGTTAGTGTGACGAGGTATCCCTTCCCCACGTGCGTTTTTTCAAGGTTGCAGTGGGTACTAGATTCATTTTTATGGATGACAGTGCGCGGCCGTATCGGACAACCCATGTCGAGGAGCTCTTGGCACAAGAGCATATTCGGCGAATGAAGTAGCCTGCCCGTTCCCCCGACCTGAATTCCATGGCGCACGTGTGGGATGCACTGGATAGACGTACTGCAGCACGTCTAGATGCACCAGTGACCACTCAACAATTGTCAGTTGTGCTGATTGAGGAGTGGAATGCCTTATCACAGAACTCATAACCAAACTCGTGGAAAGTATGGGATCGCGTTGCGGAACATTTATTGCTGTCCGTGGTGATCCCACACCCTGTCAGGAACTGCGTCGCTTTATTTGAAGTACTAGGATCTATTGTGAGGAACTACGTGTAATCGGTACTTTTGAATAAAGATGTCTTATCTGCTCGTCTTATTTCGATTTTCTGTCAGTTGCTTCCTGTGCCACAGCGTAATGGTCCTCTATTGGTATGGTATAAATTTCATTGAGCTCTGTCGTCTGATAGAGGTACAGTAATCGGAAGTTGCTTTCGTCCCTAAGTTTTGCACACAGTGTGCACTGAACGCAGAATCTTACAAGCAAGATACTCTTATTTGAATAAACAAATCTGCCCCCGCCATATGTACGATGCATCGCAAAGAGACCTCGGGCAAGGACATGGGTGGGCTGTACGGTAGAGGTCCGTTCCGCGCGTCCGTCAAAACTAGTTCACGCCGCAACCGACGCACGCTCGGCAAGCGATTTTTGACGAATGCCCCAGTCGTTAATGGTCCATATGATCTGCGTTGATCAACGGCAGTGAGCCTGAACGGAAGATAACACGGGCTAGAGCAAATCATTCGATAGGGGTTACCATAGCTTCACGCGCACTCGTTCAAGGCAGAACCCATAGCCGAGATTCGGGAAGACAAACGTGTCGTACTGTGTTTACGTTTTTATTTTTCAGGTTGACACCAATGAAATTATGCCATCAACGAAGAAACGAAATGAGTAAATCTGAGAATGAGAAGATTTTTGCACTTGATCAGCTAGTCGATACTCGTCGACTGGTCTCATCCCTGTCTTACCTAGACCTGAACAACTTGTACTAGTATAGTACTGTTGAATAAAGCTACCACCCGTGCTGAAAACGTATTTCGAGTTTTGTCTGATATACAAGGTTTTTGCCAACGTTCCATCTTCATTTTGAAAGGCTCAACTAGCAATAAGACCTAAGGTGACAGGTTCGAGGATAGTTTATCAAGCGCCTCGCATACGTCAGTTGTTTGTAGTGATATCGTTAAAATGCAGCGCAAAAAGTGCAGAGAATGTGAGAGACCACTCCAAGAAATGTGGTGACTTATAGGTGGTTGGGTGGCGATTTTTGGCAATCATGATCTCAGTCACTGTAGATCTCTCTGTTGATCAAGTTATATAGATAGTTCAAGGGGAATATTTATCTAATAAACAGAAATATCCTGATTGCAGGTATTGCAGAAATGGCGTGTTCTGGTCTATGCCAGAACACTCTCGCGAGCCACGACTAGGATTTAGTTACACACATAAGAAAGCAAGAGGATTTTTCAAAGACTCAGCCCGTTGCCCATTGCATTCGTCGCCCTTAGTCTTGTCGTCCATTTTCACACAACACGTTCTTGGATCTCCCACATGCCGTGCACTGTACGCCGCAGTCAGTATGAACTGGCTTGAGGCAACGAACGGAAAGGCCGAGCCTCGACACCTGCGCGCTTTTTGCAAGCGCCGCTACCACTCACAACTGCTACTTCTCTCGAGGGATAGTTGTTCGCCCGTGCAGTTGAACATCCATGAGCATCCTGGAAATCATTCGTGGTGCTTTCTTTTGTGACAGTCTGGCTTTTCCACTAACAAGCGGGAAAGTCGTTCCGTCTCGAAATATTACCTAGGATTATGTCGCTCTAGCTTCCTTGACCGCATCCGCAAAGGCCCATAAACATGCATCTTTTAGGAGCTTATTTTCTGCACCGAGAACTCTGGAATTGTCATGTCAGCGTTATTGATTGTCGCCGGAGGCTATTCCGTTTTATTGGGGTTTTAGAGAGATGCGGTCATCCCATCTTGGATGCGTAATAAAGATCTTCCTCATTAGTGATTTCCGTCCAATTATCCATGAGCCAACAGCGCCGAGCGGGTCGTATACGGAATCATTTTGACTGATGTTTTCTTTCATTTTATTTCTCTTCGACAGCGGCGCCTTCAATTCGAAGTTGGTCCTGACTAAAATGCCGTCGGTCTCAGTGTCACTTAATGCCTAGAACTTCATTTCACCGGGTGGAGCTTGGTCGTTCCTTGTTATGACCAGGTTAACATTAGAATTTAGAAGCCACGATTTGGCCAGTCCGCGAGTGAGAAACATACTCTCGGAGATTCATACTGATTTTGGAAAACAAACCCTTACAATTGGATTTTTTGTAATTCTAGGAAACCTGCTTTTCAGTTTGTGTTTAGAGTAAAATACAGGTTTTTGCTCACTCCTGCTGATAATTCTGTCTAATCTGGGCGTAAAAATACAGAAAGCATCACTTCAGGGCATTAGGTGATGCAGTGATACCAAACAGCAACCGATTAAAGCGGTGCTCTATCATGTTCGATCTCGTGATCGGCTTTATGGTATCTTTTAGCCGGGTGTAGCGCGATTCACGCGTCTATATAATGAGGTCGTCTCATGTGAAAGGCGGGGTCTGCGCGTATTGTGAACGAGACGCGCTATAACATCATGTCCACCATTTTGGTGGGAGAAATAGGAACTTATAAAAGGTAAGTAAAAAATGATCGACTATGCACGTACACAAAAGGATGGCGGTTATTAGTTCGGTTCGCAACATTTCGAAATTACTTTTGTTTTGAACTTTGACAAGTGAATTATTAATCGATGGAGTAAATCCTTTATCTCGAATGGGCTTCATTGCCGGAATTTGCACTACTTCATGGTGGCACATCATTTGGTCCATCCCAACTGAAGGGTACTGAAGCAGTCGCATCGAAACGCGTTCGTAACCCGCCGCGTAGTGGGCGTGAAGAGCTACGATAGGGTCACGCGTGAATCGAATTTCCCCCTTTTACCCGGGAGAGCGGCACAAGTCTTTGAGTGCGTTCTTGAGCCTAATCTGCGTGAACGTCCTCAATGTCACGGTGTAAGAAGAACTTGCTGAAGCGACTCGAAACGAGTACCTGAATTTTATTCAAACGATTCTCCTTTGTGAATCAGATCGACATGCAATGAGAATTGTCCTTCTTGTACAAGGCACCGTACACCATTCTCAATGGCGTGGCCTTGTGAGGGCGCCACACGGCTGAGCGTGTCATATATTATGTGCCAACGCTATCCTGGTGTTTTCGGAAGACCCAATTCAATGATTCCATGATTTTCGAAGTTCTTCAGGACCTTGGAATACCATTATGTCTGATCATGGTTCAGTTTCAGCTCTGCCTCTTCATAGCGACGTGATAATTGTTCTCAGGTTTTGAGATATTGCAATGCAAGAGGAATTGCTGGACCCAAAGGAGATCGGCTGATATTCTGCGGGGTTGGCTAGTCTGCCTCGGCCATAAATTGCTGGACCGAATCAGGTTTTTGCGATTCGCAACCCTGAACGTGTACTCCATCTGCTACGACTAGGTCGTGATATCGGTCGAGCCCAACTAAAAGTTTGAGCACCTGTCGCTCTCCTTGCAAATTAGTGTTTGCGACCCAGATCTGGTTGTGCCTAAGGAAATTGGCATCTGCTTCGGTTGATCTTACGGAAGGAAATCCTTCTGTCATGATTGGTTTGGTTTCTACGGTGGAACCTCGTTCTTTTCCGACGCAGATCCAACCCTTAAAGGCACAGTTCACGATAATTTTAGGTGATCCAGATTAAGGTAAAAATGGAAGACAAGATCGAAATTAGTGCGACTGAGGTGAAGAAACTGCGTGCATCGGTGTTTCCAAAGTGAAAAAAGACTTCGAGAAACCGTTAAAAAGGGGGCTGGACGAGAATGAAACCAGAAAAATGAAGAAGAGCGGGGCGTCCGGACGAGCTAAACAATGTGTTTCACTACGCGCGTGTGGGTCCTTTTGCGAATAACAGACAATAGTATGCAAAATTTCATTCACTTATAAGCATAAATAAACAAAAAAACCCTAGTAACAGCAAAAGTAGCTCACCTTTTTCAGTCTCTAGGAGTAGGAAATTGAATAAGGGATCTCGGCAGCAAAAAGAAAAACAGGGGAAAAAAGAATGGGAGAAAAACATCGCCCCATCACTCGGCGATTAGCTTATTGTGCATGGGTCCTAGAACGAATAATAGCAAACTGTATTGTCTCGACACTCGTCTAACGTGACACCGATTGAGGGGCGGGAAAGCGAACTACGGCAGCAACGGGCCTTCCACTATGCCCTAAGCGCCGAGATTGTGGGAGCGAGAGGGTCCCTTCTACCACCCATGGGGGGCGCTGAGTATTCCTAAAGGTAGAACTCAGTAAGCTTTTCATCGTGAACCGTGCCCTTAAAGGTCCGGTTGTGCAATCGAACCGTTTAGCGTGTTTTTTACTAGTGTCGATCGTTGAGCGGTTGTAGTCCAGCTCCATTTGAGTGACCTATGTGTTGGTTTGTCGCAGTCTCCGAGCATCATCGCATTATCGATTGCTAGGCTGCTATCAGATCGCTGTGTTCGCTGCCTTAGTTTTGTTGATTAGTCTCACATCTTGCCGGCCTTGGATTCATCGTTGGACCTCTTACGTTGATGCCGGCATATCTGCTTGCCAGACATATGCTTTGATAGTTTCTGGCCGCAAGTGGGACAATTAGGCTTGTTGCATTGATTGCTTGAGTAGTTGCCGTGAAACATTTCCGACAAAGACATTTCCTTTAGCGATATCGCGTGTCCTTTGGATATCGGTGACGGTTATGCACAGGACAGAATGATGATTGTTGCTTGCGCAGAAGAAGCAGATTTGGTGCAACCTTCATCATTGAATCATTAGTTCTAGAATCATTAGTAGACCTTGTTTCCTTCTATATTCGTTGTTGGAACCCCGTTTTGACAAAGATTCTGGAGGATAACTCGTTCTCCAGCAGCGTTATAGGATTCTCAAAAGTATATTTTGCTTTTTTCTATCCTGGTATTTCGTCAAAACGTCCTTTCTTACGGTGTAAGGGAACTTTTGTCGCAGCCTATGTACATCGGTTCGCTAGTGCCTCTGATGTCATAGTTGAAAAAGACCATTTGATTTGGGAGTGCTTTAATTTGAGTCCAAGCAATCATCATAGCTTTATGCATTTTGTGGAACAGCTTCCAAGTCGAAAAGTTACTGCTTCATTTTTGACCTGTCGGTTGCTGAATTTATCGTCAAGAGTCTGCTCAATCCATTCATAATTCTTTGTTATCGGCTGTATCCCTTTGATGGCACTTTCGGCCTTCCCTCTCAGGCTGTCCGTGAGTAGATCAATCTTCTCGATTGTACACAGTTCACTGCTTGAGTGAATAAGAAACTCATGGACTGCTCAGTGATCTGGGAGTTCATCTTCGCTACTATGAAGTCTCACTAAGCTGATATTGGGTGGTCCCATCCTTGAGATATTCCCAGGAAAGGCAGAAAAGGGATCCACCAACTTTCCTTGAGTCTAACTTGTCTGGTTAACGCTCTGCGTTGATGATCCTTCAATCTTATCACTAGCTGACGGTAATTTGAGCTTTCTTTGAGCACTAGGTTGTTTTACTTTAGCCTCAGTCAACTGACCTTCTAGTGCGGACGCTTCGTTGCGCGCGTCCGTAAAAATTAGGTCACGCCGCAGCCGTCGCAAATGTTGTGGATATTGAGGTTTTTCAATTTCCTGAGCCTCTATCATGTTCGTTTTGATCAGTTCTTTTTGCATTAGCGAAATGATTCTCTGTTTTGTCGACTTTCTTTTGAATTATTACGACAACAGTTTTTACACGACTAAGTGCTGGTAATAAAAGAGCAACATTCGCTAGAGCCTTTTCGTAAAGTTCCTCTTCATTTTCAGTATGCTCTATGTTTGCTCCGTAACGTTGATATTTTTGCATTAGAGTAGCCGGGACTGTTGCGCAAGCAATAATTGTTTTTTGTAAAAGTAAGGTGCCATATTGGGTTACGTGACTACCTGAACCTTCTCTGCGTCCCTGACGGCCAAGGGCCAAAGCGCAGAGAAAGGAGGGTACCGATGAGTTGGGCGTGCTCATGTCATCACCCGCTGCGTCTCTACCCTCTACACCCTCAGCTGGCTAGAACGCGGAGATATCTGCAATCGCTAAGATCCGCCGTGGCAGCGCTAATTCTCGTGAATAGTGCTCGACCAATGGGCGCCTACAGTTGTGAAAAAACACAACAGGAACAGATAACTCTCACACGTAGTTTTTCTCCTTTTTTCAATGAAGAATATGCATTTTGCCGATAGAGAATATTGGAAATCTTTTCATTATTAGACATTCGTTAAAATATTGAGGAACAACAACATCATCAACAACAATGATATAGTGGAAATCTTAGTGCGCTAATCGCCGTGCCAAAAAATTAAGTAGTCTTTACAATGTCTTGTAGTGGGGCAATATTGAGAATGACGTGTGCAACCCTGAACCTTTCCATTTCAATAGCAACTTCATTTTGCCTTTGAAGCTGTTGGGGCCTAACATAAAGGGTTGCTGCCAATTCCCTCACCGGTGTAGCATATGACTCGACAGTGGTTAATTGTCCCGTAACGAACCTCAACATTTGTGCAAGTGTAGGCGTTCCTCTGGGGAACACTGTGCGAATTCTAGTGCAGAATCCCTCTGCATGATTAGTGGTTCGGAAGCCGACTGTCGACGAATGATCCCACAAGGTGTGGTCGAATGGACCGCCAATACCCCAGGTATAATATCATGGCAATACCGCAAAAAAGCAACTATGGCAAGATGCTCCTGGACGGTAACCAAGGGTTTGTCGTGGGCTCGGAACGCTTCCGATATGTCGAGGAGCTGTTGTGGCAAAAGGGGAAGCATCTGAATTCTGCGGAAAACAATTTTATGGCCCTGTTCCTGCTTATCGCGGATCTCAAATTGACGGCATCACGATGCCGCGGAATGCATTGAGTGTAATGAAAGAAACATCTGAATGAAAAATTCAGTCAATAGTTCTATGTACGGCTTTCTGAACCTCGGCATAATTGTATTACTGAGTTTATTGCCGTCTTGAACTCTTCACGAGGTTTGTAAGTATTCTTTAGTAGGCTGACGTTTCGGCGGAAACGCCTTCTTCAGAGCCTGAAAGGATCATAACAATTTGTGATTATCCGATCAAACGTCTCCGCCAACCCACTAAGTTCGAGACCCCCAGGGCACGGAGGTGGTTGAAAGGAGAACCACTCACCGTAACATTGTAGATTCTTC